ATCATACTATTTCTGGTGATAATGGAAAGACTATAAAGAGAGCAGAACTTATGATCATTCTTCTGGCATGTCCTGAAACAGAAGTCTATGTTAACCATTGCTCAACAGCTCAAAACTAGCAAAGCTGAAAACGCCATGCCCTGTAGTTGGCACAGCAAGAAATAACACCAGTACTGTTTATGTGAAACATGCCTGTTTTTATTCTCACAGACCCTAAGGGTATGCACTCATCAAAAACTATTACACGCCCACCACTGACATTATCACTGTGAAAGTGTAAGATTTTTCTAATGTCATTTCTACTTTTTTCAAAGCAATAGCAAAAAATTTTTGCTTTCTGGAGCACTTAGCATGATAGCTTTCTTATTTTTGCTTTGCGATTTATGAATAGTTCCATAATATATAATAAACTAAGCATGACATAAAAGGCTGTCATTTACAACCCAAATGCATGTGCATAACCATTTTCTTTTGAAAACTGTATGTAAACTGCAGCGCAGTGATCGTTTTAGATATTCTGCTGCTGCCATTAAGTCATCTGTGAGCAACTCAGCTTTAGTAATATTTCAGTATATAATTATTGCGTGTGTGTGTGTCATCCCACTTTGGCAGCTATGAAGTAAAGAGTTTGTTGTCTAGCAAGTTTCTCTCTGCTCCCTAATTTCAGATGTAGCAAACCCTGTAAGGCTGCAGTACTCCGGCTCTGTACTTATCTGTGCTTTCCAACAGCTGAGCAAACCAGATGACTGAAGAAGGCTGGTTTTGCGTTTTTAGGATAGTTTTGAACTCGAATATAGTTTTACTCATTTGGCAGATTAGCTTCTTTGGATGTCGTCGCAGCGTCAGCAAGCCCCTGCTTTGAACTTCATTTGTACAGTTCTGAGGCGCCTCGTCTGTACCGAAATGCTGGTTTCGTAAGCAGGGTAAGTTCTCTGGGAGCTTCTGTGGGTGTTTGGTGTAGCTGTGATGCTTTTGTAGAGAGTGAAATCTTCAAGAGACAAAGACTAAACCTATCTTTCAACCAGAGAATGCTTTTCTGTTGTGCTTGTTTCTGTTTTTCTAATTTATAAATCTGTCTTTCTCCTGAGCCGTGCCAGGCTGACTCCTTGGGCGTTCAGAAGTGAAGAAAGATAGACCTAATTTCGTTTGTATTTGTCAGCCTGATACGCTTCCTAATTTCTGTGCTAAGGGAATCCAAAAGATACTATCATACAAGCTAAATTTAAATAATATTTTCGTCTTCTGCTGAAAGTTTCAGTGTAGTGACTGTCAAAAGTAAAATATCTAGCCTAGTAGTATAGTTTTTATTTCAACTCAGTAAAATTTCTTCTTTTTATTTAATTCAGAGATAGGCAGGTAAATAACTTTAAAGTATTTTCATCAGGGAAAAGCATTGCTTTTTGGAGTCTTTTAAAATTTCTATTAGGAAAAACCTCACAGGAAAGAACAAATTTCTCACCAAGTAGAAAATGACTTTTTGATAGCACCTGATGTCTATAAATGCCCCTCAAAGGTTTGAAAATCTTACAGAAAGATGAAACTCTGTCAAGTGTATCTTTCTGTTGGTAAGATTCATATGCCCTAAATAATACACAAAAGCCAAATGAAGTTTTATCACCTTTCCCCTCAGGGAGGGGATTTTTTTTTTTCAATGAGCTAGTAAGAATGAGGTCGTAGGCACTGGAAAGCCTCATGGTCTGTGCTGTGGATGTTTGAAGGATCCTGTGAATGAAACAGCTATTGGTAGTCACTTCCAGTCCTCTGCCCCTAAGGAAGAAAAGACCCATGATATCACAGCTGAGTGTTTCTTTTAATTCATAGGATTCTCTCTTTAGCCACTTTGTTTATAGTGTTACTGAGCTATAGAGATACAGATTTTTTTTGTTCTCAGATAAGCACAAGGTGAATCTGACAGTGTGTAAAGTGCCACTTAATGTAGGAGTGGCAGAGTTCCATTCACCATTACAGATAAATGCCCTTTCCTTATCCCCAGCACACTGGGGGTGAGATACTAAGTTCTCAGTGTCCTCAGAATCCCCTTCAAATTCTTAACACTATAAATTAACGAAGTATTTTTGTCTCACTGTCGTCTTTAAATAAGCCACTTCTCTGGTGGCCTGTAAGTAACAATTAACTAGATAATGTGAATGGAAAATAGTTACAACAAAAGAATGCACTCCGTATGAGCTTATGTAAGCTACACTACTTATGATTTTAAATTCTCCAGACTGTTGCACTATTTTTCTCTATATGTCATAGATTATAGAAAATGATAGTGCGCAGGAAGGTGATGATGAAAGCAGTTGCTCATTCAGCTAACAAGACAGAGTAAGGACAAAAGCTGATAAGCATAAAAAAGCTCCATTAACTCACATGAGATTTGCATGTATATAGTTAAAACAAGAAGTGAGCTCCGTAGGCCATATTGTCAAAAGCCTTAGCTTGGTTTTCATTTAAGCACACAATTAATTGTGATTAAAAATGAGAAACAGACGCTACCTCAGCACTGTAGCAAGGTACTTTTACCATCATGCCTGCAGTTATTTACTTGTGCAGACTCTGAGATCTCATTTAAAATAGTCTTTGTAGCTGAGACTACACAGGCAAATCTATGTGCTTTTGAAAGCTGTAGTCCAGGTAAACAAAAGTGAATCTTTCCTCTCTTTCCTTCCCAAGTTGTTTCCTTAAATCACTGATGGTTCAATAGTCCTTCATCATCCACTACAACATCAATGCTGTCTTTGACTCTTTTTACCTCTCCTAAATGATGTAGCCTGTGCTCAAGTCATTACTAAAATCTCTGTGGCAAAAACTGGCTCAGATGGGGCTTTGACTTGCTCCCCGTGCAGAAACGTGTTGCCATACGTGAGCAGCTCCAGCATTGCTCAAAAGGAGAGGCTCTTCCACGTGTCTGTGGTGTGCTTTACAGATTTCAGCCTTGGTCTTTATTTTCACCAGCTCTTCCTACCACTCTCTCTGACCCTTCCAAGTTAACACACCTACAAGCTGTGCCCCTCTCAACTTGGCAGCTCCTTTTGCTGACATGCTTTTTGACCCTATTACTCTGTTTCCAAATATTCTCTTTCTTTAAAGTCACTTCTTTTGTGAAGCTTTTTAATACCAATCTCCATCTTATTCTACTGCTCTTATATTTGATTTATGTCAAATATCACATTTGCCTCTCCTTCTGGATAGGAAATGTCTTTGCTCATAAACTGCTGTGTATTCTTAAAGTACTTGGTAAGAAGTAAATAGCAGAATTATTTATAAACTAAGAAAGACAACAGTCATTAGTTTTAGCTGTTTTAAGATTAAATGTTTATCAGTGTATTCACTAATACAACATGTGTCTGAAGACTACATGAATTGCATTTTCAAAGACATAGGAGTGGTTTTCACCTACCTTGAATATTTAATATCCAAGTTTAGTTCTTTTGTATACTTACTGCAGTGAAAGCTACGGTGTACTTCGTATGCAGGTGTACTCAGTAAATAGTATTTGCCCTTTATAAATTATTTCTTTGAAAGTTGTGATATGAATTCTTAGAAAAATGCATGCAAACTAGGCATATTTCTGAGTTGCACTAGTGTGAACACCATCTACCAATGGTAGAAAACACAATAAAAATTTATTTTCATGCCTGTTTTTAAGCCAACATTTTCAAGGTAAAGGCTACTTTCCAATATTTCAGTTTTCTATTCCATTTAGTGACAAGAAATTACAGCTGCACTTACATGTGTTTAGGCCTTGTAAATTCTCAGTTCTCTCTATTTGGGATTGAAAACTTCCTGTACTTAAACATTTGTCATTTATGCATTAAGATATTTTAATTCAAATATCAATGTATTAGATAACCCTGTGTCCTGTCTCATGCCAGCCATCATGTATTTTCAAACACACTTCACAATCTGCTTTCTGTAATTTGATATTCCCATAATGAAGAAATTCTGGTACTAAGGCACATTGACAACTGTAACAGGAGCAGAAAGTTTGTGTGTGTTTGTCACATGAAGGAAAGTGGAGGTGGGAAAAATGTGTAGTTCATTGTGTTCAAACGTGCAGGCCAGTGATTTTTATCACTTGTCCTTGGGTATGGAGGGCAATCCCCTGATTTCCTTGGGAATGGGTCTGTGACCTCGTTAAACTGACTATTTTTACATTCAGTGAATTTTAAAGTATCCTAAATTCACCTTCTCACTTTGAAATTATCCTTGGTGATTTAAAATGAAGCCCTTGAGTATTTTATTGAGAAATAGGAAGATAGTTATTCATTATTACTTACAGAATTCATGTTGTGGGTGTTTATACAGAGATAACATGCATTATCCTTTTGTGTCATGTGGTGGTGATTGTTCCCATTCAGTAGAGGAATGATTTTTTTATTTTTGTTGAAAAAATGTTGAGAAGCATCTGTTATCTATGTGATTGTTTAGCTGAGCTCAGCCTGGACATCAGAGTCTGTCTGTTGCTTCTGGTATTCTAATGCAGTGGAAAGTTTCAGGGCTTTTTCTGTCTTCACTACTCTTCATATCTGAAACCTTCTTTCACACATTGTATCTATGGCACAGATCTTCCTGGAGTTTACCACTTTTCTGAAGTTATCTTGGATAAGAGAAGATTACTTAGATTAACTGTAAATATGTGCAAACTTTAGGGCTACTTATAAAAGTCATTGTGCTTTTTTATTTCTTTTAATAACATATACTGTCCTTGTGATTGACAGACTCCCTTCAGTTTAATTTAAGTGCATGCTTGAAGTTACTGTTCTCCTGGATTTATGGTATCACTTTTAATGGCACTCTTTTTAGAATGTAATTTAATCAGTCATTAATATAACCCTCCAGCCTTGACATAAAATGGTGTGTGCTTAATAACTGAAAAATTAAAAAGGTTGAAAAAAATTGTGTGCTTAGATATGAAGAGACTATAAACAGGCAGTTTGGTAACTATACTTTCTTCAGATGAACAGGATTTAAGTCAATCTATCTACTGAAGAAACATGATTAAAGATAACAACGAAATTATTCCACTAGTGGGCAAGAAAATGAATCCGTCTGGTATTCCCACTTCAAACCAGCAAGAGAAAAAGCCAACTGAAAGCACTCCCACAAAGAAAAGGTAGGACTCTAGCTCAGTCTGAGCCACTAAAACTCCCTGGTTTATCTCCTTGAGTAGGTAACTGCACTAAAATACCACTAACATCTTTATTCACGCTGCATCTATGAATGAGAGACACCTGATGAACACAGAGTGCATTCAAAAAAAATATGCATATGCTGTTTAGAAGTGGCAGAGTAGCTGGTTAGGTAGACATGTGATGTGTTTACCCTAATGGGACAAATATTTAATGCCTATCCTAGAGACATCAAACTCATGCATTAGTCTTCTAAGTTTGTATCTCATATCAGTAGGGCTTTCTGCATCTACTCTATATAATTGTATGAATTTACAAGAATGTGATCTGATGATAGTCAGTGTTTCAATATAAGGTAAAGTGATCTCTTTTTAAAGAGATCATGTGGCAGGGTACACCAGGTTTTATGTAAGAGATGCTGACCTGAAAAAAAGGGAGCATTTCAAACTTAGCCTCACACTGGAATGTGACAGATTATGGGGAAGCAGAAGTGAATTAAAAAATGATGGCTGGGAGAGCAGGAGGTTTGAAAAATCCTGCCACAAACAGAAACTTGAATTCACTCTATTTTTCATTATTCTGATTAACAAGGGTTCTTCATTACTTTATTTTATGAAATATTCTCTTCCATTCATAATTTATGCTGGAGAATTAATAAAAGGATTAAGGGCTTATATTTAATATGAATGGAGAACTATAAGCAGTAATTCATCCCTGATGCTATGCTATTGAAATCAACTAAGTTACTGTAGAGTGAGGATGAATTTACATTCATAAACTTTTCATTCTGTGGCTAATTACTAGCTATTATGGGAATTTTTAAAACTCCAAAGGCCAAGGCAATTGCAGCTGTTCTGACATTTATAATTCTTAATAATCAGAGGAATCACTTTCCACAGAAATGGTGTCATTAGTTATTTGAGACCCACTGCTTGGGTGGTTCAATTTGTCCTCTTGTCATTAAATTCAAAAAGATAAGCTCTTTGGTTGCATGACAGGGAGGTGAGATATCTGAACAGCTCACAATACACCCAATACTTCTAAAGGGGGCAATTCCATGGAAGATTGTGTAGTTTTAACAAATACTGGCATACACTACCCCTCAATTGCTTAAGCTCATATCTTGCATTCAGTTTTGTTGTATCAGTAACTTTGGGGTTTTTCCCACCTCAACCAAGAGCTCAGGGTGTGGCCGACAACATTCCTCTAATATAAGGAATGAAGATCACGTGAATTTTAATGCAGAGGTTTAACATGTTTTATTAATTATATGTTTCTCTGCTGCTGTACTTCTGTTGCTCAAAATGCTTCCTTCTGCTGTGGCACTAAGCAGCTAGTGCATCTCCATGAGTGGCATTTCTCACTTGGCAAAATGTATTGGCTATATGCACTTTCTGAAAAGATAATGACTTCCCCTTCTTGAAGGTCCTGGTATTTGGGTGGATTAACAGTATATAATTAAGTACAGGAAAACCAACAGGCAAACTGGGAGGAGTGCTGCCAACTTTGTCAGAGACGGATTATGCTTGTGGGCAGTGTTCCTGAGAGTGTGCACCAGGGCCGCGTAAGCACTTGGGTATTTGTTGGCAACTGTCCACCTGCTTCACACATGGCTTTTGGGTTTTCTTTTCCCCCCTGTGGTATCCCCAGATAACCCACGTGCCAGGTTAGGTATGTCAGGCTCCAAAACAGGGCCCACTTCATAGCTGCTGTACATCTATCAGATACCAAAATCTTCAGCATGAACACACTGTTGAGAGAGCAGGAGCTGCTGAGCCAAGAGCAGGTGAGGTGGTCCAGCAAAGCCTAGAGCTTGGTGCTTCTGGCTTTATAGAGGTTCACTGTTTACCTGTTGGGACAGCTCCTACACTTCATGGTCAGGGAATGGTTTTTTCCACTCCTGAGTCTCTCTGCCAAATCCAGACCCCAGTGAAACAACAGAGAGTTAAAGCAGCTGGCATAAGTGATGGCAATAATTATTTATCAGGAAAAGAAACAGTTAAATGTAATACACTGACTGGCAAGATTACATATTCAGTCCTGGATTGTGGAAATGCCTGATGTCATTTAACATGTGACCTTTCAAACTTTCTGACTTAATGATTAGCACTGCTGATGGGTTTGAAATGATCTATCCTGATGGCTCCTGGCTGGAGAAAAAGGGACTCGAATGCAATATATTAAAAAGAAAAAAATAAAAATAATAATTAAAAAAATTAAAAAGCATATGCCTGTGTGTGTATGCATAAATGTATGGCTGTTCAATAAATGTTTGCACAGAAGTTGGATGCAAAGCTGTTTTTAGGCTGCTGGGGTAGCTGCTTAGACATGTCAGGATCTGATGCCGTGTCTCCTAAAAATATCTTGAGATCTTTTGCCCATCTGCCAGCATGAAAGTGCTGGGCACAGTGTTGGAGATTGGAATCCCCCCAGAGGAAAGCAGATAAGCCTCTGTTCCTGCATCCTATTAGGTATAATGCCAGAAAATATAAGTTGTCAGCCTTGTCCCAGGCACGTACGTGTAGTGCTTTGATTATTTTATGGCTGAGTTTGCTTTTTTACTAATATTTTTTAAATGCACTGTATTCAACAGTTCACACTTTTTTCTGGAGATTGATGGTTTTGAAAGCAATGCAACTCCAAATAATACGTCTCCCCCTGTGTTTTCAAAACCAATGGATTCAAATATTCGTCCATGGTAAGTTACATGCAATAGTCATACTGCAAATATATCTATTTTCTTTTCAGCAGCTACTCCTTGTCTCTCCTTAGACTTCAGAGCTAAAATTTCACATGGCTTTTCTTAGCTCTTGGTCACTTCAAAGACAGAACTTCATTGGAGGTCAGTTATTGCTAGATGAGTTATCTGAGTTTATCTACTGCTGTCATTTTACACTGAATAAATCAGGACTCAGATTTGAATATATTTAAAATCAGTATAGTCTTTTTTTTAATCTTAGCCTTGATTTATGATACATTAGGACAAACTCCATGCACCCATTTGTGTATTTTCTACTGTGTGAAGTCCACAGCTTAATTTAGCAAATGCTATTCCCAACTGTGTGCTGATATCCCTCCCTCTATTGCTTGTTAACAATCAATCAACAAGAAGATGCTGAGTCTAAAATATGTAGAGGCAACCATTTATGCTGAATGAATAGAGAAAAATTATGACTGGGAAGAATGCACTTAATTTTTAAAAAATGCACAGGGTACTAACAGCCAGTAATTATAAATAAGGGAAATACACATATCTAGCATAAGCCCAGAATGTCCAAATGTTTTTGTGTCTGGTGGATGTCTGGTCAGCTTTTTGAAATGAGCTCATAATCTTGGTTTCAGAGGAGAGGCATCCAAATTTCTCCCTCTCATTCAGGGACTGACCTGCACAAGAGACACATATGCTTTGTCACCAGATTCCTCACAGTTTTCTGCAGAGAAGTGATGGGCTGAATAAGAATGGACTCAGCTACCAGCTTTATTTCAAAGGGAAGGGAATATCTGCAGAGCAATGCTGAATCCTTGCATTATTGTCCATACATCTGTTTTGTCAATAACAAATAGTTCAGGCTCCCTAAGTTATTAACCTGAGGTAGTTAATCAAATCCAAACCTTATAGAAAACAAATACAAGTAAGAAAAATTATAATAAATTAATTTTTAAGTCAGACCTGCTTTTAGGAACGTCTGGAAATTATGTGCAGCAATTACAAAATACCAATGCCATTTAAATCCTTTAAATTTATTACCTAAGTATGTATTTAGGGTCCAGTCCTCAATTTCTTTTAGCTGAAGCTTCCATTCAAGTCAGCTGCAAAATACTCTTGAGTTTCCTGCAGTATACTGTGTAGTAAATCTTTAGGTAAGTCACTTTCATTGTGTGCTTGCAACCCATGCACTGTTACTGATTTAGCATTTGTTTTGTGGCAGCAGACAAATTAAGCATGTGAAAAGGAAGAATGTAAACTTAAAGCATTCAGGGTGATGCATAAAAAGCAGTGATCACTAAAAAAAAATAAATGGAAAAACTTCTTACAGTTTCAGGATCTGTAATCAAATAACATAGTAAAACACAGAACAGGTTGCTTTCCTAATGATTTTTTAAAATTTAATAAAATCATGTGGGTCTCTTCATTTTTACCACTCATTAAAATTCATGGGGGAGATAAAATGATAGAATTAAAAAGCACAGTGTCAAATTAGACTAATTTCAGCTCTACTGTAGATACTACTTTCTAGTATTGAGTGATTTTTTCATGCAATTTGCCAAAATGTCTTCCAATTTCTTCCTGACTTAGCACTTGTGCTTTTCTGTTTCATATAGTGCACCTGGAAATGGAGATGATATGGATTCCCCACAGTCTCTTCAGGATGATGCAACGGAATATAGCCCTAATGTAGACAGATGTTGGTGAGTGGAGACACAGAGTATTTCTTGGTACATTTTCAATGGATTAAGTCTGTGATAGGGAAGCCATTACATATTTTGCCTGCCATATTTTAGAAATAAGGTCATGTGTGTGCATGCATTTCTGATTCTTCAGTAACTAAATTTTGAAATAAACAACTTTAACCTCTACTTTTCTCAAAACTCATATTTAGTATGAGCATTCTTCATATATAATATCTTTTTCCTAGATGACAACACAGGACTTAAACACCATGCACAACTAGGTGTGAGTTAGGAGTATTTCTGACTGGGGGGAAAATATTAAATCATTCTTATTCCAGTATAATGTATGATGGGGAAAGTTGCATAAGAAGATGTGGGGTTAAAAATTATCTCCTGCTGTGAGTGGGATGGGTGCAACTGGAGTGCAGCATCAGGGAACTTCAGGCAATGAAGTCAGCAAGTTGTGGATAGATCAGAGAAGCAGAGAAGTATTTCTTAGCTTTTGCTTTAGAAGAATGGGTAAACTGGAAAAAATGCAAAACAAAATACTTGAAAAATGTACATTTTTATAATAAAAACTCTCTCAATAGCCACTTATCTTCAAATAAGCAATCTGCAGAAACATTGAGACATCCATGCCAAGATACATATGGAAGTAGAGCAAGTATATGTAGGCTGGGGCAAGTAATTGTATTTCTTTTTCCTCTTATGTAGAAAGTAAACCAAAACACTGTAAATCAAATCAGCAATTTCATTATTATTTCTTATAATTCAGTGCTAACATATCACAAGGACCCGAGCAGACTTGTGCCAGGAAGAAACTGAAAAGATACATATTTCGGGCAGTGTCTGAGGGGAATACAGAAGAGTTGCAATGTCTGCTTGCAGAGCTGAAGGAACGATCGAACGCGTGTACAAACATGACTGTGCCAGGTAAGCTGTGGAGTTACCTGAAGGAATATTGCTAGCTTTTCTGGCAGCTTATGTGTAGTTAAAACTGAGAAATAACTCTGGGCAACAGTTACTTGCCTGTGAATTTGCAGTCACTTGTTTGCAATTTACTGTGTGCTACATTTCCTATTTCTAAATGAAAGCTTAAGATACTCAGTAAGCTACTTCCTTGCTGCCTCTGAGGCAATGCTGGAGAGTATTTGTCTCTTATTTATGATACTGATGTCTCTATCCAAACCACAGTCAAATTGCAGTATAGCCAGGGCTTGTGAAGTGTGCACCACAGTAAAACAGGAAGAGAAGTTAAGAGTTCTGGGTCTGTCTGGATTTACCACAGCAGTGGGATGTCTGAAAGAGAAACCAAGTGCATTGGCTACCTTATTAATTAGTACCACATCTCTGAATGCATCATCTCACCAACTGCACATGGCTGAAATACAAAGTGAATAGGATGGAGTAATTGTTTGGCAAATAATTTATGTTCCTATATATATATATATCCCACCCCTAATAAACAAAAGAATAGAATTATTTTGCATCCACTTTAAGAAATAATCATGATCTAATATCAAAATTTACTCTTGTAGATTATCTGATGAAAAAATTCACAGCTTCAGATACTGGTAAAACTTGTCTGATGAAAGCTCTGCTGAACATCAACCAAAACACAAATGAGATAGTGAATATGCTACTATCCTTTGCAGAAGAAAATGGTATTTTGGAGACATTTATCAATGCAGCATACACAGAAGAGGCATATAAAGGTATTGTCATCTGATACCAGTTTCAGGTATATTGTTAAATATACCATCCATAAAAGTTATATTTTCTTCAAACATTCTAATGATGGATTCACTTCCTAAAACAACTTTTATTCATTGTCACTGGTGCTATCCATTGTGAAATACCATCAATGTTTCATAATGTGCTTAAGACATTCAACACTAAATACCTGTATCTTTCTTTTAGGCCAGACAGCTCTAAATATTGCCATTGAAAGAAGACAATATGAAATAACTCAGAGCCTTATAGAAAAAGGAGCTGATGTCAATGCTCATGCCCAGGGTATTTTCTTTAACCCCAAACATAAGCATGAAGGCTTTTATTTTGGTAAGTGAAATGGAAAATTTAGGAAGGAATGCCCAAACATTTAAGATGGCATGAAAGACAGACAAGTGTGAATTATCACTGTACTAAACCTACATTAGGAAACTCACAGCACAAGATATAAAACTGGCATAGTACCTTTTGTAAAAGTAACTTGGCAGAGTGCAATGTATTATAAACACTCAGAAATAATTGTAAAACATTAAAAAAAAAAAGTTATAAATGCTGAATAGTAAATAAAATGTAACAAATTTGACTTTGAAGATTTTATCCAAATAATATTTTAATGCAAATTAAACTTTTATAAAACAAAAACTAACTTCAATACAATCAATGTGTAAATGTGCTTTCATATATTAAGATGTTTAACACAGTCATAATATGATTTGAATGCTTGTAATAAGACATGAACACATGTTACATTTTATAACTTTGTAGGTGAAACTCCACTGGCATTAGCTGCATGTACCAATCAACCAGACATAATTCAACTGTTAATGGACAATACCAGGACTAATATTACTTCTCAGGATTCCAGAGGAAACAATATCCTCCATGCATTAGTTACTGTGGCAGAGGACTTTAAAACCCAGAATGATTTTGTAATCAGAATGTATGATATGATTCTGTTAAAAAGCAAAGACAAAAATTTGGAAACAACAAAGAATAAGGAGGGTTTGACACCACTACAATTAGCTGCAAAAACTGGGAAATTAGAGGTGGGTATTATTTCAGCAGCATCTAAGAGAAGTTAAGTGTGTAGAAAGAGTCAAACCTGACTATGTACTCAGATGTTAGTGCTCTGATATATAGTTTTCCATGCTGGTTATGCTGTACTATGTAACAGCAGTATTTGGTGAGCTAATTTTGTTCAAAATACAAGCAAATATTTCTATTGCAATGTTGCTTCTGCCCTTCAAGTTTTCCCTCTAACAATTCTTCTCTGTACAAAATACACATGCTCTTTAAAAACAGCCTTGCAAACCTTTCTGTTGTACAGAAACTCAGAAATTCTGCATTCATTACAGTGCTATGTTTATACAATATACAGTCTTTGAATAATTTCAGAAAACTCACTAGAACTGCTCTGTTATGCTGCTGTAGAATTTGGCTGTCATAAATCAACTGTGTTGTGGTAAAGAAGTGACAATGGGATAATTTAGAAAGTAATCGATTAAGTTAAAGGAAGATAGAAATGTGAACACATGGAAAATTGTGCTTTCATCCTTTAGAAAAATGTCTCTGACAGGAAGTCCAGAGGCACTAAAAATACTGTATTTATTTCCTAGAGGTCTGTCATCTCTAACACTGCTTACTGAATAACAGAATTACAAATATGTTGACTTGCACTAGTGTAGCAAATGTGATAGTTAAAAGGTAGTTTGGCAAGTATGTATGTGTCTTCTCCTTTCCCATGAAGAATGCATCTGCTTACAAATGATTCTGTTAATGTTTTAGATTCTGAAATACATCCTGAGCAGAGAGATAAGAGATAAGCCTAACAGGAGCCTGTCAAGAAAATTCACGGACTGGGCTTATGGTCCTGTTCAGTCTTCTCTTTATGATCTGACAGAACTAGATACCACCTCTGACAATTCAGTATTGGAAATTATTGTCTATAATACAAATATTGGTGTAAGTTACCTATTTCTATTTTTTTTCTATTTCAGATGTGCTAGCCTAAACATTTGACTGAATTACTTGTAAGACAGTGAACAGTAATTTTTGGTTCTCAATTTTGTATCAGGAGCAAGATGAATTTTATACATCTGTAGACTGTCACCAAATATCCATTCAGCTCCTGAAACATGGGCTAGGCATTTTGGGACTGTTTTTCCTACATTTGAAGCATTTATTTGTTTTGCACAGGAACATAAATATGGCCCATCTGGACAAGACACAAGCTGGTGTCTTGTCTCCATGGGGTGGGCACTAACAGCTGCCTAAGATGGTGCGTGAGAACAGGGCAAGCAAACAGAAATACTTTACATGAATACTCTGCCTAAAGTTATAAACTTTACTTAACAGGTATGTATTTTAGGCATTTAGGAAGGACCTTATCACAGAATGTTAGCTTTTCAAAGCCAGAATTTTACATTTGCTAAATTCAAATACTGCCATAAAACTTCTGTTGGAAGCAAGACCAGAAGTTCACATCACAGTTCTAGCTCAATCATAATTTCATAGAATCATAGAATGGTTTGGATTGGAAGGGACCTTAAAGATCATCCAGTTCCAATCCCCCTGCCATCAGCAGGGACACCTTCCACTAGACCAGGTTGCTCAAAGCCTCATCCAACCTGGCCTTCAACACTTCCAGGGAGGGGTCATCCACAACTTCCTTGGGCAACCTGTTCCAGTGTCTGACCACCCTACCCTAATTTACCAGGGTATGGCAGGTTATCCCAGCATGAGTCAGAGTTGTCCCATTGTATCTTGTCAGGTTAGGGTCTGACATGTATCTTTGAGTGTAGATGTGTTTCTAGATCAGTAGAGGCAGATAATGAATGAAATTATCTCAGTTTCTTTAAAGGCAGCAAGTTCAAATCTTAATTGCTGTGGTTTGTTTTTTTCATACAGAATCGTCATGAAATGCTGACTTTGGAGCCTCTGAATTCACTCCTGCGAATGAAATGGAAGAAGTTTGCCAAACACATGTTTTTTATGTCATGTTGGTTTTATTTCCTATACAATGTAACACTAACGTTAGTTTCCTATCACAGGCCTAATGAAAATAAAGTGAGTACAGCAACTTAATCTCAGCAGATTTTACTGCTTTAAAATGCAATCATATTTCCAGAATTGTATTTAAAATACTAAACCAAAAACAGATATTGGAATATCTGGCTGTAGTGAGACCAGGTCCTTCCATATCAGGTCTTTGTATCTGGAAGGAAGAGCAGCAGTAATAGAGGAGATTTGCATTTTGTGAAAATGCCCTAAAATACAAATACATAATACAAAGACAGGTACAGATTTCTAAAAGTATGGGGAGTGTTTTTTTGTTTTCTTGTAAGAGAGAAACTTCTGGAATTTTTAATATACATGTTAGGGGGCTGATTCTGTAAATCCACCATGAAGAAAACTCTCAGTGAAAGGGAAGAAACTGGGTACCCACAGAGCTACATAGGTGAGGCTTCTCGTTACTTTGCCTTTTACCCTTCAGGTATGGAACTCAGTCTTTCATTTTGGACCTGTCTTACAGGCTCCACCTTATCCACTAGCTCTGACACGTGGTGTGGGATGGCTGCAGTTATCGGGACAGGTGATGGTTATGTTAGGAGCAATCTATTTAGCCATAAAAGAGGTAAGACTTTTTAATAACAAATACATAACAAAATAGGTAAATAACTTCTCTAGATTTAATAATCCACTGATTATGATCTTGGAAATATGTTTGGAATATCTTTATATGTGTAATGTCTAAAAGTCTTTGGCACAATGCATTGCTTATTCAGAATGACCAGGAATATATATTTGAATATAACTGTATTGCTCTTTGAAGCAAATACAAAGGTTTTTTCCTTTCAAATTCTCAAGACAGATATTATATATTTGTTTAACATTGATGTTTTCAAAAAACTGGTTTTAAGGATACTGCTGAATTAGAAATTGTAATGGGGGGGGAAAAACAGGGTATAATTTTTACCATATACTATAAGTAGTTAAAACCAGAAACCAACTGTTAGATTATGCCAGAGATAACAGAAATTTAAACTTTGAAGTTACACCCCTATAAAAAGATTTTAAACTCTAGAAGTTATGTATTATCAGTAGACTGATTTTTTTTAAGATGACCAACTTCAATTAGATTATTTTGAAAACTCAGTTTTGAGGCCTGCTTTCTCTTACTGCCATTTCTGTATTTTATGTATCTGCCTCCACAGAGTGTAGCCATCTTTCTGCTTAGGCCCTCAGACCTACACTCAATTCTCTCTGATGCGTGGTTCCACTTTGCATTGTAAGTCCATTCTGCATATATTTTATATATATAAACTATATATAAACTGTTTATGAACTATATATAA